TTCTAAAAAAAGAAAATTGCAACTTTAATGTACGTCAGTGTAGCATGATTTTATTCCAAGACTATTTAGACATTTTATATTAAACCATCACTATGAAATTTTCATCTGATTTAAAGGGCATATGGCATTTTCACATGCTAAAAATAATGAAAAATGACAAAACAGAGATATGCTATTTTGATATGACAGCAACAAAGTTAAAAGAAATACTTAGTTCTGTGCATATATAGTTCTGCAAATGTTAAAGACCACCCTTCATATATTTAATTTCCAACAGACGTTGAATACAAGCTGTTCATTATTCAGTGTCAGGATAAAAGGCAATAACATATATGTAACAAGTGCAAGTTATTCATTTTTCAGCAAAAATCAGAAAATATATGAAGAGTTTCATTCCTAAATAATATATATATCCATTTGTAACAATTTTGGATGTTGCAAGTTTTTTGAAAAGAATAACAGCTAACTCAATTTGTGAGTTCAGACCATGTCTTCAACATGTGGTGGTAGTATGAGGGAAGACTGATTGAGGGAGGGGGGAGAACTCTGAGAACTTGAGCTGGAGTTCTGGGCAGCTTCTGCCTGTAGCTAAAAGGCCAGACCCCCCTCATAGCTGTAGCAGGACTGATGTAGGGCTGAGGAACAGGGAGGAGATGGGGAGGCAGTGGGGATTGCGAACACTTCATCACGGGAACACAAGATGTGAATGTCTAGGGCGTTAGATTGGAAGAAGGAGGGGTTTCAGCCATGCTCCTCCCCCACAAACTTCAGTTATAACGTAACTACATTGAAAAACATCTTTCTATCCAACTAATAAAGATGGTGATAATCATAATGTGGCACTTCTTATATTTGTAAAGCCCACGCCCAGCAATCTTAATCATGAAAAGTTCTCCAAAATGGTCAGTAATGCATTTTGCAATGAAACTCTTCATATATTTAACAGAAAGTTATGAAAGCTATCACAGTTTCCGTTGTTTGGGAGACTTCCTACCAACCTTTCAGACTCAAAGTGTTGAGTTGTCAACTCACAGTGGAAGGATGGACAGAAACACCTGTGGAGTTTTTCAAATCTTAAGCAAGAGTGGAGCTTGATTTTCTCCTCTCTCTCAAAGATGAACACTTCAAGTATTGTTTATCTGATGGTGAAAGTTTTGGTGGTCTGTCAGGTCTTGTATGGTTGTTAGAAATCTCAATTTCTCTGTTTCTTTTAAACTTTTGGATTTTTCTCTTCTTATCCTTTGACTTTCTCATTCCTTACACAAGCGGATTACGTTACATCTAATCTTCTGTATCATATCTCCTGAAAAATGAATAGCTTTTACTTAATGGCTGTTTTGGTTAGAAAATGAATAACTGAAGGGTGGACTCAGACTTTTACACAGTTAATCACGTGATCATCATTGCCACTTACAACTCTTAATAAAAGCCCAAGGCCACAGTGAGAAAGGGAGTGTGAGATTGTTTTAGTCTCTCACGCTTATCTAAATTTTGTTTTCCTTACTGAGCCTTTCAAAGCATCGTGAGCTTAAGTGTGTAACAGGACTAAGACATGTTAAAATAATTACTGCTTAAATGTGGAAGATGATTCTGCTAATGTTTATATAAGTGTACCTGCCAAGCACTTCCACAGCACTTTTGCGATTATTTAGCTGCTTCAGCTGTAGGTCCTGACAAATCATGTGCTCAGAAAAGCTTTTCATCAGCTCTCTTTCATCTCTCTATTTTGACATGTGGCTTTTCCATTTGTAGGGTTCGAGGGTCATTAAGGTTTAGTACAGTGGAAATTCACTTTAACATGATCATTTGGAGCATCAAAGTGTACAGGGTGATCTTTGTCTGAGTCTAAATAAGATATGCATTCATGGAAACGTGAGCCTTGATCTATGAAAATCGGTACAACAGTCAAACGATTGCAACCAAGCAAATAAATAAACTAATAATTTTTAAACAAATCAAAAAACAAAGAAAAGAAGATCAAAATGACTGTATTCATATGATTGCACTTTATCTTGGAGATAGAAGTAGTACACTGGAATTTACAGCAGAAGCTGATGCCGTATTAGTTTAAGGTTGAAGCAGTTATATGAGGATAAATATGTATATGTTATCAATATTTCACTTACACAGGAGGGCCTGCAAGTCTGTTATTCCAGTAAGATCATAAAGGATTGATGAAAAATCAAATGTTCACAACGTTCCTCTTATCCCAAAAATAGTATGATGTCATGTTTAATGTCTGAAATTAGCTTCTGTGGTATTACACTGGTACTACATAGCTGAAAATGGTTCTATATAGCACTGAAAAAGGCTTTTTGACTCATGTCAATTGAACCCTTTTGGGTTTTATATAGAACCTTTTTTAAAAGGGTTCCTTAAAGAACCAATGTGCAACTGGTTTTCCGGCATAAAGACGAATCATTTGACCATGCAAGGATGCATTTATGCATTCAAAAAGCTCTTTGAGTGTTCTTGATTCTGTAAAGAACCATTGCCTTTACTGAAGAACTCTATTGAAGAATCATTGTTCTGAAGAGTGTAGCTTAAATGTAAATGAAGTCAATGTCACCCATAATCTTTTTTATGTGTATTAAATTTCTATTATATTGAGAGCGAACTTCAAACACCAAACCAATCTTGACCAATCAACTACATTTGGCATAAGAGGAAAGTTGTGAGCATTTGATTTTTTACTAAACCATTCCTTAATGAGCTTATGATGAAGTGATGGATTCTACAGTACATCCATTTCCCACAGTGTGGTGATGTAATTACCACATGCCAGCTTTCTCCAGTGCTTTGATTGTGTTTAGGCTATACGGACTATAGTAAGATGCTGTGCAATGAGCTCATTGTGAACACTCGCTTCATCAGGCCACAAGCCTTCGCTGTGCTTGAAGCCTGTGGTGAAGTTAAGGTCCGTGGACGGGGCTTTAACAATGGGTGCCATGTTTCAGCTGCTTTCTCATGACAGCAAAAGTGGAATTTTTACAAGCACAAAAGTAAAAAGCACTGACCACTAAGCGCAGCCTTCGTTGACCGCCAACATTTAAGAGCTTGCAGTAAACCACACTTAACTGTGACCTCATTGTAACCATGTTGTCATAATCAGTTTAGTCAGCGTAGACAGTCTCCTTTCTACCTTCTGACACATTCTTCTGCAGGATGAACTGATTCAGTTGGAGGTTTTTTAGTAATTTCAAATTTAGGTCTGTTTGCAAACTCTCATTGAGGTAAAGCACTTTTTTGTTTTTTTAGCACAAAGAGACAAAACTGAGCATATGTGCTAAATGTCTATCACAGCATGAAAATTATTAAACCATTTAAAGAGTAAATAATGGCTTAGCATCATCTTTCATAACACTGGTACATTTACTTCACTGAAGATGGGAAAATTGCTTCTTTTCACCATGACCATATAGGTTTGATTTATGACCATTTTATTAGAAAACAAATTGGTAAATCATGTCAAAACAAACCATTTCCATCCAAATTCTTATAATACTGCTTTTCAATCCCTTAAAACACCCCTTGTTACAAGCCATTATAAGGTCAGAGGTACATAGTCTCACGCTGCATCAGGAAGAAACTAACTTAGTAAGCATTTTCTTCACAAACCCAGCTACTCCCCTCTGAACTGTGCTCTTACGGTCTTTTCTTTGCCATAATGTTGCTAAAACCACAAATGAAATAACATGTACAGGAAGACACTTGAAATAGTGTTTCTTTTGTTTTGTTTTTTTAGTTTGTTTGTTTGTTTTTTGTTATTTTTTTTTCTTTACCTCTTTTCTACGGAGCAGGCAATGCCAAAACACGCAACAGTTTATTCAACTAAAAGATTAATCTGTCATTTTATGAGACTCTGAACTGAAATCCACTTTGAAATCCTTTGGGGAAAGAGACTTAAACAAGGAGAGAGAGAGAGAGAGTGAGAGAGAGAGAAAGACAGACAGACAGAGAGAGAGATAGGGAGAGACACTGAGAGAGAGAGAGAGAGAGAGAGAGAGAGAGAGAGAGAGAGAGAGAGAGAGGATGAGAAGGGGAGAGGAAAGAGGGAGAGATAGGGAGACAGAAGGTTAGAAAGACAGAAAAACGACAGGGGGGACAGACAGACAGACAGACAGAGACAGAGAAAAGAGGAAGAGATAGAGAGAGAGAGAGACAGAAGGGGAGAGGAAAGAAGGAGAGATAGGGAGACAGAAGGTGAGAAAGACAAAAAGAAAAGAGAGAGAGAGGGGGAAAGAGAGAGAGAGACAGACAGAGATAGAGAAAAGAGGAAGAGATAGGGAGACAGAAGCAGAGAAAGACAGAAAGATGAAAGAGTGAGCGAGAGAGACACAGAGAGAGAGAGAGAGAGAGAGAGAGAGAGAGAGAGAGAGAGACGGTCAGAGAGAGAGATATGGAGAGAGACAGCGAGAGGAGAGAGAGAGAGCGAGAGAGAAAGAGAGAGGGAGAAAGAGAGAGAGAAAAAAGATACAAGAGAAGAGAGACAGTGAGAGAGAGAAAGAAGAATAGACAGGGGGAGAGAGGGAAGGAGATAGAGAGAGCACCATATGAACAGAAAAACATCTGGAATTAAAGATAAGCCCTATGACAGGCATCAGGAGTAAAGCAGATATCTGTCTTTTTTGTGCTCTTCTGTAAATTCTTCTGTTGCTTTGCAACACGCATTGAGTTCAGTTTATCTGTATTGTTCATTTATTTATTTTCACTGTCTTTTTTTATTAATATTATTTTTGTTGTTCCATTGATTCTTCCCCTCGGCTGTTATGAGCGAATGCAAGGTCCCGGTTCCTCTCTGCAGGGTGTGCGTTCTTTGTGGTGTGTGTATGTGTGTTCATGTGCTTCTATATGGTTTAATCACCGCTCCACCTCTCAGTCTCTGCACATGACTGTGTATGTATATATATATATATATATATATATATATATATAATATATATATATATATATGTGTGTGTGTGTGTGTGTGTGTGTGTGGTGTATGGTATGTGTGTGTGTTTATGTAATTGTCTGTGCATGTATGTTCAGTACGTTTTATCCCTTTAAGTCTGTCACACCATGCCGTTCTCCTGCCGGGGTTTGTGTACAGTGGTGGTCTGTGGGCTGTGCAGAGAAGGGGCCAGCGTGCAGAGGAAGCCGGCCAGCAGTGTGAGGCCCAGGCCGGCCCAGGCGCTGAACATGGACCAGCCGTAACCATGACTGATGTCCTCCGGCAGACCATACAGGTACCGAGGGTACCGCGACAGCTCGAAGTTTATACCAGCCACGCATGTGCACAGAGAGATGATACAGCAGGTCCCTAAAGAGACCAGAGACAGAACACAGAGGAAAATCTTAAATCTTAGTCTTAATCTCCAGCCCCTCTCTCTGATCAATCAGTAAGTACTATAAATGACTCAGTAACTGCTACACAAACTAATATGTGAGAATTGAAGTGCACATGATTTGAAAGGATCTTTTTTTAAATAAAGGGGTTTTATAAAACAGATAGTTCCGGTCCTAAAATCTGATTGGCTGAGCCACGTTCAAAGCCATTGTAAAATCCATGATTTACTCACATCTGTGACCGCCTCACAACAACTGAACTCTGTATTACTGCGCCACGGCACAAAAAATCTTTGTGCTTTTATGAAATAATCTTTGACTCTAACGCTGCTCGCATGGACCACCGAGTTTATTGATGATGTAAGAATCCGTTTTTTTTTAAACTGAGGGTCTAACAACTTCTTTTCTTACTAGAACTAGACCTAGCTTCTGCTTAACTACTCCAACATTAATATCACAGGCTTGAATTATTGTACTTGCGATATGAGTAAGTACAGTAAAGATGCCAGTAAAACTGCAATATAAAAATCTAAAGAATGACATTTGAATGGCTTAACCTGCCTTCTTCAAATGTCTGTGTTTCAGTCAGAAGTAGCATCAAATCCAGGTGAATCTCAAACAGCTCTGTACTCCCTAAATAGCATGCTAGCTATGTAACGTTAAGTTTTGAAATTCTAGCTTCTGCAACCAAATAGTGCACTGTTTGTCGAGCACGAATGTGGATAAAGTCCAAATTACTATTTCTTAGCTATAGTATACACTGTTAGTGTGTGGCATTCAGTAGCTATTTAAATTTCTATGTAACATTAGTGCACTATGTAGGGAGCCGTTTGAGATTCAGCCCCAGCGTGAGAAGAGGGACGCCATTGAATTTATGCTAAATGAGACTCGGTGGTAATTCGGTGACCAAAAAGTACATATAAAGTGAACATTTTTGCATTAAACAGTGCTGTTATCTTATGTTCGCTGTTATACGACAAAAGTTTAAAAAAGTCATAAAATGATCGCATATACAGCGACGGGCGACCGAACGTTCTTCTCCTCATTCAGCGGTTGCTTGGCAACGTCATACACTAAAGGAACTAGCTACATTTCTTGAATAGAATACCTATTTACATCGATTGTTATTAAGAATAACTTTAAATAATTTTCTAAAATACTGTATATTTTCGCATATTTTATGTTGGTCGCCTTTTCATAAATGGGGGTTTTAGGAACTCTGCCCTTTTATAAGAGGGGGTTTTGGGAACTCTGCCCTTTTATAAGAGGGGGTTTTGGGAACTCTGCCCTTTTATAAAAGGGGGTTTTGGGAACTCTGCCCTTTTATAAAAGAGGGTTTTAGGAAACACCCTTCCTTGTGATAAAAATCGCAGTTCCTCAGAGTTGGAAGCTGGGATAGGCCAAAAATGTGGACCGTCTGGAAGGCCCTCAGGACTGTTTTGAGAACCTTTGCCCTAAAGAACCTGAGGATCTTTAAAGAATTATTTTTGTAAGCAAGATGTAGGTGTGTGAAGAATCTTTTTAAAGTTGTTTTAATGTAATGTTTTTTAATGTAAAGGTTTCACGGATCCAGTTTGATACAAACTGAGTTCAGGAGATAAAAGATTTTTTTATATGTACCCATCTGTACTTGGAGCTCCACAAACTGAAAAAGAACCCGTTTTTTAATTATTTACAGAGTACTGGATTTAGCATAGAATTTAGTAACCTCTACAGTGCTGCTGTAGTTGCTGACGTATGGCCTAACTTCATTAAGTGTCACTTTTATGCCACCTAAGTTTGCAATTCATATTTCTTTGTTTTTGAGGTAAAGGGAAAATGATAAGCCTATATTTAATGTCTGCAAGACAGTTCACTGCTGCTGATTAGTAGCCTAAAACTATAGGCTATTAGTAACAGCTTGTCATTCGTTGTTAAAAGTGGGTTTTCTCTGTTGACCAATTATAGGCTGATTCTCCCTTGCAAGACTTCATGTTTTCACGCTTGTACTGTGCTGCCACCTAGCGGAGTGCTGGAGCAATGTAAACAGAACTCACCGCCCATTAGAAAGAGCAGGCCAGCTACATACTGCATCAGCTCATTGTGCTTACAGCAGCCCAACACACCAATGATCCAGCCGAACAGGATGATGGACACGGCCATGCCTATGAACCCTGCGGTCATCCTCTGCAAATCTACAGTGACAACAGGAGAGCAGTTGTAAGGATTTTACATCACTGTTTTTAAGATTCTCTAAAAGCAAAAAATAAAACAAACAAACAAAACACAAAGACCTAACGGAACCTTACAGAACCTAAATTTAGATTATTTTATTCATTTTAAATGATATTGGTTTTGTGTTAATATAGATCAGGTGTAATCTTTTTGTGTAATGGAAATAATGTTACATGGTGGCAAATTTGTTTTTTTCTATCCTACTTTGATTCAGTTAGCTACAACAACATTGTCCAGCTAGCTAGCATTTTAATCTCGAAACTCATTCAGTAAGACAAATGTGGTTTTTGCCAATGCCCTTTAAAGCTTGTCCAACCAGCAACAGTTATAAAAGAACACATACATGAGGGAGCATGGGTAGGTCATCTAAACTTCCTTTGCATCATAGCAGACAAAAGATTACCAAATGCATAATGCTGATTGATTAAAATAATGTAATGATGTATGCTCTGTGGCTTACATTAGATCTGCTCTGTTCTCTCTGAGAGGGAGAAGTGCCATTTCCTCCATTTCTACAACCCTATTTTTAGATTCCTCAATTGTCTGTGCTCTGGCAGGCATGAAATCAGCTAGGAGGGATGAGTGTGGGGAATGGCTGTGGTTGACTTGAGAAGTGAGCATGCCTCTCCTCACTCAGCTGTTCTGCTGATTTATGCCACAACATTATCTGCCCTGGACCAGATAACTTACGCAGAGCATGCCACTCGTCCTGCCGTATTGTCTTTGTAATGTTCACTGGGAGACTGCGTGGAATATTGGATGAGGAGTAGTAATATTTCACTGGAGTGCAGCGCTGAAGCAAACCTGTGGATGAAAAGCACACAGACACATTGACAACCATCAGTACTCATCACAGGCAGAAGCAGCAAAGTTAAGTGGCGGGGTGTTGATTTAATGCAGGGAAGATCAGAAGGCTGCCAACAGAGTCTACCTGCAACTAGTCTAACACTTAGCTTAGTTTCAAATATTCAGCATACCCTGACCTGTTTCAGACATTCAGCATATCCTGACCTGTTTCAGATATTCAGCATACCCTGACCTGTTTCAGACATTCAGCATACCCTGACCTGTTTCAGACATTCAGTATACCCTGACCTGTTTCAAATATTCAGCATACGCTGACCTGTTTCAGACATTCAGTATACCCTGACCTGTTTCAGTCTGTTTCAGACATTCAGTATACCCTGACCTCTTTCAGACATTCAGTATACCCTGACCTGTTTCAAATATTCAGTATACCCTGACCTGTTTCAAATATTCAGCATACCCTGAACTGTTTCAGACATTCAGCATACCCTGACCTGTTTCAGACATTCAGCATACCCTGACCTGTTTCAGACATTCAGTATACCCTGACCTGTTTCAGACATTCAGCATACCCTGACCTGTTTCAGACATTCAGTGTACCCTGACCTGTTTGAAACATTCAGTATACCCTGACCTGTTTCAAATATTCAGCATACCCTGACCTGTTTCAAATATTCAGTATACCCTAATCTGTTTCAAATATTCAGCATACCCTGACCTGTTTCAGACATTCAGTATACCCTGAGCTGTTTCAGACATTCAGTATACCCAAATCTGTTTCAGACATTCAGCATACCTTGACCTGTTTCAGACATTCAGCATACCCTGACCTGTTTCAGACATTCAGTATACCCTGACCTGTTTCAAATATTCAGCATACCCTGACCTGTTTCAGACATTCAGTATACCCTGACCTGTTTCAAATATTCAGCATACCCTGACCTGTTTCAGACATTCAGTATACCCTGACCTGTTTCAGACATTCAGTATACCCTGACCTGTTTCAGACATTCAGTACACCCTGACCTGTTTCAGACATTCAGTATAACCTGACCTGTTTCAAATATTCAGCATACCCTGACCTGTTTCAGACATTCAGTATACCCTGACCTGTTTCAAATATTCAGCATACCCTGACCTGTTTCAGACATTCAGTATAACCTGACCTGTTTCAAATATCAGCATACCCTGACCTGTTTCAGACTTCAGTATACCCTGACCTGTTTCAAATATTCAGCATACCCTGACCTGTTTCAGACATTCAGTATACCCTGAACTGTTTCAGTCTGTTTCAGACATTCAGTATACCCTGACCTGTTTCAGACATTCAGTGTACCCTGACCTGTTTCAGACATTCAGTATACCCTGACCTGTTTGAAATATTCAGCATACCCTAATCAGTTTCAGACATTCAGTATACCCTGACCTGTTTCAGACATTCAGTGTACCCTGACCTGTTTCAGACATTCAGTGTACCCTGACCTGTTTCAGACATTCAGCATACCCTGACCTGTTTCAAATATTCAGTATACCCTGACCTGTTTCAGACATTCAGTATACCCTGACCTGTTTCAAATATTCAGCATACCCTGACCTGTTCCAAATATTCAGCATACCCTGACCTGTTTCAAATATTCAGTATACCCTGACCTGTTTCAGATATTCAGCATACCCTGACCTGTTTCAAATATTCAGCATACCCTGACCTGTTTGAGACATTCAGCATACCCTGACCTGTTTGAGACATTCAGCATACCCTGACCTGTTTGAGACATTCAGTATACCCTGACCTGTTTCAGACATTCAGCATACCCTGACCTGTTTCAAATATTCAGTATACCCTGACCTGTTTCAGATATTCAGCATACCCTGACCTGTTTCAAATATTCAGCATACCCTGACCTGTTTGAGACATTCAGCATACCCTGACCTGTTTCAGACATTCAGTGTACCCTGACCTGTTTCAAATATTCAGCATACCCTGACCTGTTTCAGTCATTCAGCATATCCTGACCTGTTTCAGATATTCAGCATACCCTGACCTGTTTCAGACATTCAGCATACCCTGACCTGTTTCAGACATTCAGTATACCCTGACCTGTTTCAAATATTCAGCATACGCTGACCTGTTTCAGACATTCAGTATACCCTGACCTGTTTCAGTCTGTTTCAGACATTCAGTATACCCTGACCTCTTTCAGACATTCAGTATACCCTGACCTGTTTCAAATTCAGTATACCCTGACTGTTTCAAATTTCAGATACCCTGAACTGTTTCAGACATTCAGCATACCCTGACCTGTTTCAAATATTCAGCATACCCTGACCTGTTTCAGACATTCAGTATACCTTGACCTGTTTCAAATATTCAGCATACCCTGACCTGTTTCAAATATTCAGCATACCCTGACTGTTTCAGAATTCAGCATACCCTGACTGTTTCAAATATTCAGCATACCCTGACCTGTTTCAGACATTCAGTATACCCTGACCTGTTTCAAATATTCAGCATACCCTGACCTGTTTCAAATATTCAGCATACCCTGACCTGTTTCAAATATTCAGCATACCCTGACCTGTTTCAGATATTCAGCATACCCTGACCTGTTTCAAATATTCAGCATACCCTGACCTGTTTCAGACATTCAGCATACCCTGACCTGTTTCAAATATTCAGCATACCCTGACCTGTTTCAGATATTCAGCATACCCTGACCTGTTTCAAATATTCAGTATACCCTGACCTGTTTCAAATATTCAGCATACCCTAATCTGTTTCAGACATTCAGTATACCCTGATCTGTTTCAGACATTCAGTATAACCTGACCTGTTTCAAATATTCAGCATACCCTGAACTGTTTCAGACATTCAGTATAACCTGACCTGTTTCAAATATTCAGCATACCCCGACCTGTTTCAGACATTCAGTATAACCTGACCTGTTTCAAATATTCAGCATACCCTGACCTGTTTCAGACATTCAGTATAACCTGACCTGTTTCAAATATTCAGCATACCCTGACCTGTTTCAGACATTCAGTATACCCTGACCTGTTTCAAATATTCAGCATACGCTGACCTGTTTCAGACATTCAGTATACGCTGACCTGTTTCAGTCTGTTTCAGACATTCAGTATACCCTGACCTCTTTCAGACATTCAGTATACCCTGACCTGTTTCAAATATTCAGTATACCCTAATCTGTTTCAGACATTCAGTATACCCTGAACTGTTTCAGACATTCAGTATACCTTGACCTGTTTCAGACATTAAGTATACCATGACCTGTTTCAAATATTCAGCATACCCTGACCTGTTTCAAATATTCAGTATACTCTAATCTGTTTCAAATATCCAGCATACCCTAACCTGTTTCAAATATTCAGCATACCCTGACCTGTTTCAAATATTCAGCATACCCTAACCTGTTTCAAATATTCAGCATACCCTGACCTGTTTCAAATATTCAGCATACCTTGACCTGTTTCAGACATTCAGTACACCCTGACCTGTTTGAAATATTCAGCATACCCTGACCTGTTTCAGACATTCAGTATACCCTGACCTGTTTGAAAGTTTATGTGGTTTTCTGTACCAAATATGGTCATAATTTGCTTTTAAATACCCATTTTCTAATCTCTCTTTATCCCTTTAAATTAACCAGGCTGTTTTTGTTACTGTGCATTTAAGACTGATATATATGTAAATGAGCTCTGTTCTGATTGTCTGGCCTATATTGTGGCTCATTCAAAAAGCAGTTTGGGCTCAAACACTCCTTAGAACTTCAAAGTGAGTGGGTGGGGCTAAACTGCTGTAGGCTGAATTGGATGATATATGTAAATGAATTGGTTCTCATGACAATAAAGTCAGAACAGGCTGTTTTTTGCAGTATAGTTTCCATATATGGACTGTATGGACTGGAAAATGAATGGTATATTTTGAAAATTTAACAATGTTGACATACTATTCAAACTTTTTCAGTTTTACATAATATGGGCCACATCATGCATGATGGGCCATATCATAAATGATATTAAGACTTATTATATAGTAACCTTTATAAATTGTTACGTAACTAATATCAAATTGATATGTCAGCAATGTAGGTATGAGAGTGAGGAACTGAATTAAGGCCACATACAGGGTCTTGCACATAAACCTAATATTTGTCACATTAGGCTTTTAATTCATTGCAGCTGGGATGATCTACAGATTCAGAGTTGGTATATTTTTAACGTGTGCTCTCACAAACAAAAGCTCCTGAGTGCTTCAGAGCTATACAACTCACTGTGATGATGGTGACAGGGACAGAGCTTAAGTTTTAGAGTCATAAAAAGGAAAAACAATTTTAAAGATTCAGTTTCTCATTGAAAACTCTTTTGAGATGAAGTCAAATAATTTCATTAAATTACTTCTATTAAGGAATGGTTCTGTATAATACATTTAGATCCTTTAAGCTCTAAACATTAGCTCCATATTGGGTTACTTTAACATCAGCCAAGACATCAGGACATTGTAATTAGTTCATAATTCAACAGGGTAATAAAAATGCTCTTATACAGAGCGACTAACAGTTTAATCATGTTACAGAATTGGTGAATGTATTGTAATGTAGGGGTTCTCAGAAGAAACTCAGACAACTCAAAGTTCTTCTCCATAACGCGGCTTTACTTAAAACTTAGCGCAGGAAACAGAATATAGGAGGGGAAAGTTGCCCTCAGCCTAGCTCACAGTTCTTGGGATTAGCTACCTCACTCTCGATCTAAATAGCCTGCTACAACAACACACAGTCCGGTCAGTTCTTAGCCCCAAGCTTCACAATAAGAGTCCCTGCAAAAGGAATCAAGGGAAATAACTGCTAGGGAACACACAGCATAACTAAATAGAACACGCTACACTATTACTTCGTAACTGAGCAGGACACAGGCGCAGTCTGACGCAACAGTATGAGGCATTTAGAGTCTTGCTTAAGGACTCTTATTGGTACACTGTTATGTGCTTGCCTGGGTGGGTAATGAAACCCTAGTTTGCCAGGTGGAGGGTAGCTGTGTTACCCACTACCCATACCAACCGCTTAGCAGCTGAACTCAGAACTTGACAACCTACACAACACTTTAAGAATTACAAACTCAAAGAAGTAAATTTCATTATATGCTATCAGAAACAAACAAACTTTCCCATTTTAGGGTAGAAACATTGTCACTCAGGTGTTGGCCACAAGGGTACATCTTGAGTACCTTTTGTTGGGTATTTCTACATAGTTAAATGGTTAATATGTTTACAAGGTCATTAAGAGTGGTTTGATGTGAAGTGCTCTGTTCTGTAGAAAATTACCTAATCATAATTGTTCTCAGTGGTGGTAATAGAAACCAGACTTCTTGATGCTTCTTGTAGATAAGATTTTGGCCTAAAACATTTTCTTTTAATTTATTTGTGATGGAAAGTCACACAGAGGGTATTGGCAAAATAGCCACCCGAAGAAAACTTCCTTCTTCAGATTTTCCACTACTTTACCATTATCAACGTCACACATACCAACTCAGAGGACACATGTCAAACTATTTAATTAACCATTGCTCCACCTATTTTTTCTCTGTTCTGTATTCTAATATTTTATACTAATGCTGTTTGCTATCCGGTGTCAACCAACAGAGGATGGGTTCCCCTTTTGAGCCTTGGTTCCTTTCAAGGTTTCTTCCTCTTGCACTTAGGGAGTTTTTATTTGCCACTGTCGCCATTGGCTTGCTCATGGGGGCTTGGACCCGGATTTTTTTTTTCTGTTAAGGTGTTTTGTGACAACACCTGTTGTAAAAAGCACTATATAAATAAACTTTGACTTGACTTGACTTTGACATGTAGATTTACGGGTTGGGTTGGATAGTAAATAAAATGGCTACATTTGCACAGTAGCCAATGCGACCCCTGGTTCCTGTCACCACCACTGTAAAGGACTTAGAGCTGGTGAATTTCTCTATAATGATGCATTTTACATCAAACTACTCTTTATTACGTTGCTTACATCTCAATGATTGGATTATGCAGAAACTTTTTAAAATTCTGTGGAATTCCCATCTTGTCTTTTGAGGGTACATTAACATTGTTTTTTGCCTTAAGGGACTAAATGTTACCTAGACAGTACCCTTTTCTGACACTGTATGTTGTGGCACAGAGTACGTTATGGCCTTGGTGTACATGTACACGTCCTTCACAGAGTCCCTCGCAGATTTTATGTCATCTGAACTGTTGTTGCCAATTCAGGCTCCATGTTTACAGTTTTCACCAGTACATGCCAAAGTGAAGTCAATATGTGTACAATTCCGCTGCTTTCTGAACCTAATCAAACTCCCTTTACATGAAAAACTGTCTTTCACCGCTCAAATGCAGAGAAATGTCTAATCTCAGAATCCAATGTAGGATCTCTGATCAGCACCTTGGACAGCGCTGCAACTTTCATTAGCGATGTAAATAGTAAACGCGATCGCATTTACGTTCATATTCTACGTTTAACTGTACGATACGCTTCACAAGCTGTTTGTCCGTCTTCCTGAATCAGTAACGCACAGCTGTTTGACCAAATCACAAAAATCACTGCTGTCTGCTGTCTGCTGGGGTCGGCCGCCTGCACCGAAAACATGAGTCAAAGGGGTTGTTTGAGTCGCGAAACGCAAATATGTCGACACGAACTGCAACTGGATTTAATGTTGAGGTTACAAAGTCAGTGCATGCTGACTGTACTGTGTGTGATTACATGGAAATGTGCAGCATGATTAGCCCAAACGATGTGTTTTTGAGTGTGCGCTGCCTCTGAAGCGGAGCTGGGCCTGCGCCGCGCTGTTAGGCTGCTCAGGAAACCTCACCTTTAAAGATGAGATCCTCGTTCTCCTGGTCGAAGCCCTCCCTGTGGCACTTCCTCCACAGCCCAGTGGCCGTGGAGTTGTATCTCCGGCTGCAGCGGGACTCCACGGCCGAGGCGGGGGGAAGGAATTCCCGTTTGGCCCGGAGAAGAGCGCGCTGGCCGCCCGACAACGGGCTGCCCCCTCCGCCGCCGCCCCCCCTCGGCAGCATGCGCAGAGGCAGGTTCTGGTTGGAGATGTAGATGTATCCCGGGTCCGTCCTCTTGCTGGCGTATTTCTTGCAACGCTCGCGGTGCCTGCGCGCGTCCGTCTCGTACCAGTAGTCCGTGCCGATGGCCACGACCAGCAGCGCGAGCGCGCAGAAGGCCAAAAACAGACCGGACGCCGTCAGCAGCCTCATGGTAGCCATCTTCCTCCTCCTCCTCCTCCTCCTGCTCCTGCTCCTCGTCCTCGACCCACGAGTGTGAACAGATGCGCGACGGCTCGGCCGCCTGCTCAGCTCTCGCGCTCCGCCGCTGCTGCAATCACATCATCATCATCATCCTCCTCCTTCTTCCTCGCCAACAGTGCAGCCGTGCAGGAAGCTCCTATCATCTTAAACCCGCCATGTAGACTAATGTTCAGCTCCGCGCGCCGCTCTCGCTGCTAGCTCTACACAGACATGTTGGGGGGAGGTTTGTTTATTTATTTATTTATTTACCGTTTCCCCCCTTCCCGTCCGTGCTACTCGCTGTTTGGAGTGAGCGCAGCCAATGCCGAGGCGGAGAGCGCTGATGAAAGCGCTCGCGATTCGTCCGCGCTGCTGCCGCTGCTGCTGGTGAACAGGCAGCTTTTAGCTTTAAGCCTTCAGCGTCAGTGCCTGGAACAGTGCGCACCTGCAGTCCACAGGAAAACAAAACACCACCACTGGCTCATCTGGCCGGCTTACACTGTCCAAAAGTATGTAGACACCTGGTCTTCCAGCGCTTCTTCTGACATCTCTTTGAGTTTAAAAGGTTAACCTAAACATGGTTACATTAGACCTTCAGCTGAACACTGAAGAGATGATTCACAAACCGGCATATTTTTCATGTGTGTCCGATACTGAGCTGATGTTTTATACAGAAAGAAAAATGTAGGATTAAATCCTGTTTTGATATCAGGTTCCATTTGAAACCTCCTCTAAGCCCAAACCTTTCCCCAAATAGGGTTTCTTTAACATCAGACACTTTTTTCCAGTTTGTGAAAAGTGGACAAAAATATAGAAAATGAACACTGGTTTCAGGAATGTATTATTATTATTATTATTATTATTATTATTATTATTGGAGTATGGTTTATTGAATTAAGATTTCAAGTGAATGCTAGATGTTTATCATCCAGCAAAAACACACATCAAAACATTTACAAAAAGTTTGGGCCCCCCTAGTGAAATTGCATGTTTTGTTGATGAAAATAATTTTCCTCTAGAAAGAAAACACTTCTGCACATTTTAGTGCACAATTACTGTTTAGTTACTGAATTTAACAAAAAATGTGCAAAAGTTATGGCACATTTTTATATTTTATGTTTAATTTTTTCCAGTATGTTTAATTCAGCAAATAAATAGAAATTGTGCACTAAAATCTGCAAAAAAGTGCCAGATTTATGTTTGTTCCCTGTAGAGAAACTTAGAAAATCAACAAAAACATGTAATTTGACCAGGAGTGTACAAACTTTTGCATACAACTTAAATTTTATTGCAGATGTATCTTTCAAACTATTTTAGGCTGTAATGGACCCTAACTGAATCATAAGATTGTATTGTATTGTATATTGATTGGATTGTATATTGAAGAATTACATTTGCATTTATGGCATTTAGCAGATGTTCTTATCCAGAGCAACATACACTTTAATTGTGTTACAGAAGAAGTGAATGCAGTGTTAAGAGACTTGCCTAAGGCTACTTTTCTCCTCTTTTTGGGCAGAATGCAATTTATTTCAAGGCTTTAAAACTGTGATCTTGAGGTTAGATATATTAGTTATTCATCTACCAGTAAAACCACATATATAACAATGTATTAATAATGTGTCTGTCCCATCTTTTCTGCAGTATCTGCCTCTACTCTTCAGGGAAAGCTTAGACGTTAGAGCATTTCTGTGAGGATTTGAATGCATTCAGCCACCAGAGAGTTAGTGAGATCAGGTATTGATGTTGGATATTAGTTCTGGAGCACAAATGCCACTCCAGCTCACCTCAAAGGTGTTGGATGGAGCTCCATCACTCCAGAGAACACAGTCCCACTGCTTTATACTCTTTTAACTGACACTTGGCATTTTAATTTTGCCAAGATGATAAATGGAATTGACTTTCAAGCCAAAGAAATCATTTATAGAGGTACAGTAAAAGCAGTGGTGAAGTGTTGTTTAGTTCCCCCTTTTGCCAGAGTGTGGAGCCAGAGTCAAAAGCAAATTTTCTCAGGTCAGGACAGCTAAACAGCAGGGGAAGAGGTTTATCCATTTAAGGTGGCGTTGCCTGTATCCTTAAAGAATAGACAACGTGATCTCTCATTGTGTAATTTGTAGTGTTTGTAAATAGTGTGTGATTTTGTATAGGGAGTCTAGAAGAAATGATGTGAGTACAGTCTTAAAAACAAATGTGTCATAAAGCATCTTTTAGTGCTTTTTGATGCCGCAGAATAATCACTTTTGGTTCCATCAAGAACCCTTGTTGGATGTAAGCGTGTGAAGAAGCTCTTTAAAGTTCAAAGAACTGCCACTTAATGTAATGTATGTTCTATACCAGTTAAAGCTTTCTTACTAGAACTTGATGTTTAAAGCAAGAAGTGTTTGGGAATGTGTAGCAAAGAGTCTGTATAATTTTCCAAAAACTGGAAATTCTTTTAAGTCTAGGCTTAGGCTTAATCTTGTTCTGGGAAACTGGCCCTGTGTCTATTAGCTAAAGAACATTGTGTGTGTATGTGTGTGTGTGTGTGTCTAGGGGGATGGTAGACTCCAGTACCTGATGCCATGTGTAGTGTGTGAGCGCTCTGTGTGGTTACAGTTGGTCTATGTGCTCTGGCCTGGCAGGAAGTTTGTCTGCAGAGATAAAAAACTAAGACATCCAACTGTCAATCAATTCAGAGACGCTTAGTAAACCCTCCTTCGGTGTGATCACCTCTCTCTGATTCTAGTGTGAAGAGAGATAATGTATCTCCACAAGTGTGTGTGCATGTGAGTGCAACCCTTTAAAGGAATTGAATCTAAAATAAATATAAACTCATGTATTTGAGGATGATCTACAGCTAATTTAAGGTCATCCATGACCTTTTAGTTCACTGGTTATATTAAGCATGATCCTTCATATCATATCATTTAAACACAACAGTCTTAGTTTCTGTCATCTGTGATCGTAATGATGATCATAATAATGACTTCTTCCCAACTTTAAAACATCTTCTGATTTTTGATGATGGCACTGAGCCCCAGTAGTAACAGGGAAAATAATAGGAATGCATTATGACATTGAAATCATATTGGCATCAACACATATTTGCTTAAAATAATATCAGCAGAGATGATGATGGAGAGATGTTTAGGTTTGACCGATATTTCAAACTGCTAAAAAGTCTGAATTTTACTCATTTTACAGCATCTGTAATTCTATGGAAAAAATGTTAGATTTCTCTACAATGCTAATCCAAGTATGTTTAGTTTCTGTTCCTACATTTTATAGATGTATTCTTTAATAATATCATGTTTCAAGTACCCCTCCCCCACCCATCATCTAGCAAATATGCTCAGCTAGCTTAGAGACCCTCCTTAATACAATGTTTCACTCAGAAATACATCACAGTAAAGAAGAAAAATGTGTTATGATTTCTGATTCACCTTAACTTTAAAAGGAAGTGTGGGTTCATGTAAAATGTGATGTTTTTACATTTTCATGGTATATTGATACTGTATGTTTTGACTTGTAATCATTAATGAAGTCTATTTAGAAAGACAAAATGGGATTGTGTGTTGAGTATTATGGGACACATAAGATGTAGGCCCTGAATGACACAGCTATTATTTTACTCAAATTTTTCTTTTGCTTATTTAAAAAAGTGTCCGCTAAAATCAGATCAATGAGTTTCTGAAAGTGTCCCAAAATACATCTGAATCTACGCAACCTAAGGATGCTTCAACTATTCTTTCTTCCATTTGTTTCCAGTTTCTTTCTAAAGGTTTGCTTTTGCACAGTGACCAAAAAACAGAGGATCTTCATGTTTTAATGATGCGAATACCTGGTTGTAACGTATGAAGGTGCTGAAAGCAGTTACTGTGAAGCTGTGTGGTGTACAGATGGTTTGGGGAGTTGCTGTAGGTGTTGTTTTCTGTGCTGATAGATGAAGCTGGACTGAAGACAGTTACAGTGAGGATGGAGCTCTTCTGGCCTGTTGTGCAACAGAGACAGTGTGTGTGTGAACAGATGTAACGGACTTCCTGTGGTGCCATAAAAAAATACCCTGCAATGCACTGTTGGGAAAACACAGACCATACAGTGCGCACACACACACGCACAGACACTCACACAAATCCACATTCAAAGTATCAACTAGGGTTAGTAAATATTATATTGACATTCTAAGTATGATTAGACAGTTGATATAAAACACAGAGAGTGAACGCAGAAAGAAAAATTACTGATTAGCGGAACACATCCAGTACTTTAACTTGCTTTACTTAGCGCAGTTGAAAGATCAGCTCACCAAAGGCACATCCCATAGCCGGACACATCCACCGCAGCCATTCACATTTACACAATGATCAAGAGGAAATGAATCCGAAAGCTTCTGACTTCTCCATTTTCTGTGCGTGTGTAGGTGTGTGTGCGTTTGTCAGGGTGCAGTGCTGGGCGTTATGGATAAAACTCAGCATCACAATTTTCCAAATATACCGCAGTATCAGCAATTGCAATTCAAGCTTTTGTTAATATAGTAAATGAACTATTCTATGCTAAAAGAATGTACAAAACCTAAGATAGCTTGTTTTGGATTGTTTTGTTGTTTTTTTCACTTAAAATGACACAAAAGAGAACCTTATTATTATTATTGTTAATGATAAACCAGACAGAAACCACATTTCCACTTAGGAAACTTACTATTTATTTAGTTGTAATATATTTTGAACTATTTTTTCAAAACAACCTGAAGCACCTAGAAGACGACATATATCACAGCTTTGTTTGGAGTTTGTTATCTATAAATACCACAGAAACAAAATGCAATACTGGTACCGTATTGTGCAAAAGTCAGACATTACCCTTCACATATTTGAATTCCAGTCAAAACAACTATTGAGTTGTTTATTTTTCAGTTTCAGGAAAAAAGCAGAAAACATATTTGACAGAAATGTTCACAGACGTGTATTATAATTCTATTTTTATCTTTTTACAGCTCACATTCTTTTCAGGAAACTTTCAGTTTTTCAAAGAAATCTGCAGGGAGATTTTTTACACCACAAGTTCAATCTTAGAATTCAGTTGCATTTTCTGCTTCTCACCATCCAAATAATTCCAAACACATTCAGTGATGCTGAGGAACTTGATTTTCTCTTCTCTCTCAGAGATAAAAGCTCTAAGTATGGTTCATCTGATGATGACAGTAATGGTGACCTACCAGGTCTTGCACAGTTGTTTGAAGTCTTATTTTCTCTGTATCTTTTAAATCATTTTTTGACATTTTGTATAGCGACACATTGTTTCATCATCTAACAGCATGCATTTGAATGTTTTCAATGTAATGTTCATATTTTTATTTACAACCAATTTAAGATCATCTGTTGTTTTGTTAAAAATCAGTAGTCCCATGTGAACACAGGGCTAAATTTAATATGATAAATTAAGTGATAAAACCTTCCTGTTTATCCAGTTTGGTCGATTTGAATTTAAGTTTTGCTCAGGGAACATTTCAACCAAGGTTTAACTCGTTGACATTACTGCATGATCACAGACACAAAGAACAGTAAACCTTTAATCCTGTGATTACTTTGTTAATAAAATGCCTTTTAGAAACTGAGACAATTAAAAAAAAAAAACATTCTGTACGTCTGCTGGTATTAGTGCAGTCCATGTGAAGCTGGAACTTTTTCCACTTATCAAACCCACTTCAGCCATCATGATGTCAGACATTCAGAGGAATTAAGCATCTTTAAAGTGAAATGAACTTATATATACCCTAGAATACTACCACAATACAGCAATGGGGGAAGTTACAAATGGCATACATTTACAGATGTGTGTAATATTAATGCTGTAGAACATGATTCATGTAAACATCTGACCAAAATAATGCTGGAAACACCAAACAGATTCAGTTTATGAAAGCCCCATTACAGACTGCTCTTATGTGTGCTGCAACAGTAGCTGCTTCCTCAAAAGGTCTGACAACAGTGCTGTGCTTTGATTAAAAAAAGGAACAAGACTCTCTTGGAACTTCACTTTGGGTTAACCCTAATGTTTATGAGACACATCAGCTAATACAAAGCACTGTCACTAACTGTGAAAATTTCCCTTGAATTGCTTGGGTTAATAAGTAGTTTTGTATGTTAAAGCTGAAATATTTGCCTTTTTCAAGTGCTCCTTTGTTCAAAAGTGAACACTATAAACGCAAATTTAGACTTTCAATTAAATTTGAATTTCATTTCATTCTTATAAACTTACAGATTTGGTCAGAACAGGAAAAACTTTACACTTAACACCCATAATCTAGTTTAAAATAAGTAACTATTTTAAGTAATAATTTATTCATACAGACTCAAGAAAGATCTAAGAACCTTTGTGAAAAAGATGCATTTGATAAAAGTTTTAAAAGGGCAAAACATTAAAGGTTTGTGAAATATACAGTAAATGTCAGTATTGCTTTGAAACGTCCTGATAAATCCTGATGATTATCAATCACTAATAATAAATCAAGGTTTAAGTAAAGTTTTAAATCAGAACAGGATTGACTGCTATGAACTGACAAGAGTAACCCATGAAATGCGATGAGTCATAGGCTACATCTGACCTATCAGAATGAGGAACTCACCGTGGAGTCAGTCAGGAACAATAAAGTACAGACTGTCAGAGGGATTTGTGGCCATTTCGTTTTCTTTTCTGTATTAGCAGCAGAACTGGAGAAAGAGTGCTTTTAAAACACATTCGCATAAAAAGGATAAAGGATAAAGATCTTGAGAAGTTGCTCAGTTTATGCAATGTTCTCTGAGTAACCACAAAACAGAGAGAAGTGCAGCGGGTAGTGCATGTCTGAGAAGTACATCTTACAGAATGGAGGGCTGTGTCATTTCACCTGTAAGTACATTTTAATTGTGATAAGTACCATTTATATCTGCCTGCAGTATTTATTTACTGTAAAAACAACTGTGGGCAAATGTGAGCGTTGATTATTTAGTAGATAATTTCAATTCAAAAGGATAACCATGTTTATAATGACCTAAAATTAACTATAAGCAAAGAAAGGAGAATAAAAGTAATTTAGTAAGTTATTTTTTGTTAAACTGCACCCTGCACTGCCCTGAACTTTCCTGTATTTTGCTTCTTTGTCCTCAAACTCAGTCACCAGAAGAAATGATTGCGTATGATCAAGTTTGTCGGCCACCGTATGACTTTTACCCATACCTGTCAAGCGATCCAGATGGTCATTTTGGTGAGTTATTAAAAATATATTATTATTATTATTATTATTATTATTAATAATAATAATAACAAATAAACTGAATCATTTTCAACTTTCATTCTTTTTTCTGGTATTTACTTAGAATAGTATTTTGGCCTCAGACACATTGTTTTTAAATAGCTGTTTATGGAATTTAATGATTATGATCAACTTTCAGACAAGCAAAATATTTATCAGAACATTTTGTTGAGATATTTGATGCCAAGCTTATTATAAAAAAATCTAAATGTGGAAACATCAAATATTAATTGGAAAGCAAATAAGTCTAGTTAACCCTTTACAATCCCATGCTTAATACATGCTTATTATTTAGTATTTACATGGAAAACAATGCAAACTACATGAGTTACTCTTAAGCTATAGTGTATAATAAAAGTTTGGGCTCGCTGGCCTGGACTTAGGGCTTATAGGCTTCATGCCAAATGAAAGCAGACTGAACTGACCTGATGATGGCTCATATTAAAAACACACATTGAAGCTGCCTAGTACTAAAGACACTGGACTGTTGTCATACCGCCATTTAAAGTGGATGCTGCTCCATTTCACGCACTTTGGGAAGTCTGACCACACTCCTTCCTGTTTACGAGAAGATAAAGACTGCCACCTGCGTTAAAATGATCACATAGACACTGTGGAGCAAGAACTCACTGTCTGAAATGACTGACTGGGGTGAATTTTCCACTGACTTTTCTACTGATCAAAATGAATACACAGAGATGCTCTTGCCAGGATAATATGGATGTACACCAATGGGATGGAAGCACTCTCTACTGCCTACAAATAAGATGATGAAGAACTGTAAATAAAATAGGACCCATGTTCTGTATGCTTATATTTATTTTTCACTTAAAACATTTGTGTTGGTTGATACACCAAAACCAGCCCTCTTTCATTTTACGTTACCATTTACAACCTCTTAAAAACAGTGCCTTTTAGACTCATATGTGAGGTTGGAGTGATGCATTTGCAGCACAAAATCTTATAATTTTCTGTCAAATCTTCTGCTCCAATAACTCTGCTAAGACCTTCTAAGTCTTCTATTATGATGCTTCTTGTCGCTTCCACATGAATGTTGTCCAGCTAAATGGATGTGGACTGAGTGGGCAGTCCTATAAAAATGTGCTTGTGGTTGTGACGTCACAATCATGATTAACTCAAAATGAGCTGTAGGCTGTAGGCTGTCCACTGTCCCTGTCATATCAGAGGAATCCAAGAAAACTACAGCTGAGCATTTATCTAGACAGAGACAGCACCTATGATAGAATGCTGTTTATAGATTATAGCTTAGCATTGAACACCTGCTAATGGTGGTGATAATTAGCAATATCATCTACTCTACAATGATATAAACACTGGAGCAACCCAACAGTCCCAAACTGTTGTCCTTGATCGCCCATGATTGGTCAACCATGTATGGCAGCACTCACACTAACTTTACAGAGGACACCACTTCATGGTATAAAATACTCCAGTAAATGACAGAATTGGACCAGAGGATTATGGGTATAGTACAGAATATTATAGGATGAGGCCTACTGTCAATCACTGAGATTCACCATTCATTTCCACAAGAATAAAATGCATTACATTTTACTTAACAAACTAAAAAGACTAATATATTTATTATTTATATATATCATTATTATTATTATTGCATTACTGCATTACATAGACTGCCAGACTAATTGCTTATTGCTGTCCCATGACAGTTTGCATCTGAAACATTAAAACATATTGACTCAGACTTATCAGATTTACTTTTTATTTTTTTATTATTGTTTATTTATTGTTTTTGATGGTTTTTATTCTTCATTATTTGTGCTCACAGTGTCTATGTTGTGTGGACTTATCTATTCTACTGTTGTAGTGTTAATGCCTGAGAGGTCAATACAAATAAAAAAACTGATGTTCTCTGCTCTTCACATAGACTACAGCACCCCCTGTGACCCAGAAGGATAAGCAGTTTAGAAAGTGTGTGTGCGTATCTGTGTGTGTGTGTGTGTGTGGGTGTGTGTGTGTGTGTGGGTGGGTGCTTATCACTGCAAAATCCCCAGTGCTGAATGAACACCTACAAGTTTCACAGAAGTCCAGATGGACACAAATAAACATGTGAAGACTAAAATCAACACTGGGGATTTTGCTGCGTACTCTTCTTTACTATAAATGACAATCTTTCTCTCTCTTTATTTATCTAGAGAGTGGCTGGGACTACCACACTGTTCATGCTCACCAGAGTGAGCTGGAGGTCCCTCAAAGTAATTACTTAACAGAACTGCATCCTGCCCCACATTGCTGTGTCGGTCTGGAGTCCTACCACCCCACTCTGGATTCAGGCCTGGGGCCACTTCTGCCTGGGGTTCCTCCTCAGGTCGGTAGTCTTACATTAATTATCTAAATAGGGTTAAATTAATAGTTCACCAAAAAATCTAATTTACACAGTTTTCACCCGTCACCCCAAACACAACCAATCAGCCAAGACATGTTTGCGATCTGAAGTTTGCTTTAGTTTTGCAGTGGATCAGCAAGGCTAATGTAGCTTAACAAGTAATGGAGGCTTAAAGCCACCGACCAGTTAGCATTATGTAAACTGCATGCCTAAATCATCACACACTTGGCCTGAACCTCATCACCAATCACGTCCACATATTGTGTGAATTTGATATTGACTGCACGATTTTTTAAAACAACCATATCTGTTATTAATATATTAACAAGATAGCTATAATGAACAGAAAAGACAAAACATTTAAATTGCTCATCATTGTGGCACTGATATTTAATTTGCTGTAACTGGTTTACACTAATGATCAAATTTCACTATTGAAATGAATGTCATAAATATAAATACATACAATGGTATACAAAAGTTTGGGTGCCCCCAGGTCAAATGACGTTTTGTAGATTTCATAAGTGAAAATAAGTTAACACATTCTCTAAAGAGAAATCAGTCCTGCACATTTTAATTCACAATTACTGTTGGTAACTGGAGTTTTCAAATGATGTAAAAAAAGTTTAAAAAAAAAAAGGCTTTTGCGTGACAGCAACTATATCTGGTATTGTATGATGGTAATGAATCATTGACAGGAGCATGAACAGCGTGACAGACACTATAGAGATGAGCTGTGAGCAGGATGTGACAGGAGGCCTCTGCTCTGAGAAACTCTCAAACACTGCAGACACTGAGACTGATTGCTCAACGCTGTCTTTTCCTGACTGAGGACTGTGGCCACTGCCGTGGCTCAATCAGGGACACACAGCAGACCAACTCTGCACATAACCCACACACAAACACACACACACACACACACACACACACACACACACACACACAATTCACAGGTATTGTCTGAAGCAGAGTAACTCAACTATGATGGTTTAGGCAGAAAATCACAGAAAATCAAACTCTGTAGAGCAGACAATATTTATTAACACAACAGAACGAAATGAAAAATCTACACTATTAGAAAAGATTCAAGGGTTCTTTAGTAAAGAGTCCTAAATGGATTTCTGTGAAGCTGCTTTGTGACAACATCAGTTGTAAAAAGCGCTATACAAATAAATTTGACTTGACTTAAAGACAAAGGTTCTATATAGAGCCATGGACATTCAAAGAACCATGCATAAATGGTCCTTGAAAGTGTGAAAGTGTTCTTCAGACTGATAAAGAATGTGCTGCACATTGTTCTTTATATTGTTCCATATAGAGTCTACATAGAACAGTGTACAACACTTTCTCCCTCAATCTGAAGAACTATTTCACCATGCAAAGAACCATTCAAGCATGCAAATTGTTCTTTGAGTGTTCATGGCTCTATATAAAACCACTGCCTTCACTAAAGAAGCCCTGAAAAAACATCTTTTTAAGAGTGTGCAAGAAAAAAATCTTAACTTTTCAGCACATTGGAAAGTACTTTATTTAGCTTGTGGATTTAATAAATGGATAATCAAATCAACACAGTATACTAAAACTATTGTACTGCTTTATTTTAGGTGCAACAGAAAATAGAAAAATAGAATTTAGAATTAGGACAGAAAATGTAATAGGAAAAAGATACAGATTTTAAGTTAAAGTGAATTTGTCCTTGCATTGGTGCAAAACAACAAAGTGTCACATTCTTTTGCATCTTTTATTTTTTGTCAACCCATAGCTTTTGCAAACAGTTCCTCTTTCATTTTAAAGTAACTCTGTGGTTTCCAAGTATGCTGTTTCAGTATTCTGTTCTCTTAGATTTTTTTTTTTATATCAAAGTAGGATGAACAGTGGTCAGACGAAAACTGAAACTCTACACAAAAATAGTTGCCATAATCAGATTCCCATGATGTTAGAAAAATCTACATAAAATTGCTCCAACCAACTGATCCAAATTATGTTCATGTGCAAAATGTCTTAAAAGTCTTCTTCTAACATCCTACAAGCTTGTTACACAGTAACTACATGGACTACAATGCAAAATGGATGAGTTATTCTTTAGTTATAGAAGCGTGTAATAAATATTTGGGTCTGTCAGAGGGTCCTGGCTGCTTGAGGGATTACTCAATACTTACAATGTGGATTTATAAAGAATAAAATCTGTCAGATTTAATCTTTTTTGTTTGATTATTGAAACAAAGTGACTGACGAATATTGGTCCACAGTTTGCATACGTCTCTCACCCGCTGTACCAGCGCTCCCCTCCTGCCCACTGCAGCACAGATGATGAAGACACAGGGGGACGCAGCCCACCCTTCGAGGTGTCTGAGGGGGAAGAGGACCATGAGGATCAGCATGCAAGCACCTCCAGCACCATGACAGGTTAGTAATGAATGTGTTCAGTAGCATGGTTCAGCATCTTCATCGGCACTCATACAAATGAAAACCACATTTGAAAACGTCTAAAAACGATGGTGAACCTGCTTTGATAGCCCTGAACCTAGTTTACCAAAATGTTCAGTGTTAAAACTGTTGAAATAAATTCTGAATATCCCTTTGAATAGCTTCTTTGAATAGTTGAATAGTTTCAGCACAATATTATTAAGATCTGTGTCATCATGCTCTTAGAAACTTTGCAGTTGTTTAGACGTTCATCTCACCAATTGATTCTAAAAACATATCTAAGAGGCAAAGGGCAGCAGAACCTTTTTCTTGCATGGGATTCATGTATGTATCATATGCACTGATTTAGGACACACAAAATAATGCTGTTCTACAGATATGAAAGAACTCAGGTGCGCAGAGAATGTTAACCAGTCTTCATTGCTAAAATCGTTCTCAGTGCAGACTACTCAAGCTCTCTGAAACTGCTTCCAGTCAAGTGAATCTATCTGCTACTCCTACTGTAAGTTAATCCAGGACGATGACAGTATACTTAGATTTGACCACATCAGTGTTTGTATTTACTCTAGGAATTTGTTATGCTCCAGACAAGGAGTGATGATATGATAAGGTGTTAACCCACTTTAACCCACTGTCTTCTGCTTACATTGGGAAATGTCAGTCCATGTTCTAGTAGAGTGCAGTGCTGTGCGCTTTAACCCCTTAAACCCTTTAAGCCACCGGCAGGCCCAAAGTTTTACTACACACTTCTATAACCTAGGAATAGTTTAGCCAGTTTGCATTGAAGTCCCTGTGGTTACTGAATAATAAACCTTAGTATGTATTAAGCCTGGGATTTTTAGGGATTAAGGGTCTTTAGTTATGGGGATAAAAAAAATGACAGGCAGGCAGTATGTGACTGACCAATGTCTATGGATGACCTCACCATGATCAATAATCAATAACAGAAAGAATGATAGCCTCTGTTAGTTTATACTTGCAAAATCAGGGTAAACAGGCCTTATTTCTGTTTAATAACGTAAATATAAAGTACTTTTCTAGGAGTTTTAAAACTCAATTTGTAATCAAACCAAATACTAATAATACTCTTGTTCAATATAAGTTCCATCTAAAGGAATAGTCATTATATTATTTATTTATTATATATTACTCTTATTCTCAGATAACAATCTCGAAATGAGAAATACTAGATGTATCAACTAGATTTAAGAAGACTTCACTTGCCAAAATACCATTTCTGCAGTGTCCAGTTGACCAGAATGATCTTCACAAATTTAGATGTGGCAGAGACTTGACCATTTCACAATTTGTAAAGATATAAAAATGCCAAAATGAGCAAAATGAGTATTAATGACAATTTTATTGACTCATATACATAACTGCCAAATTAATGAGCAATAAAATGTTTTCTTTGTACAGTTTTACCTCACTGAAAAATTTGATTTGTCATAATTCAGCTTATGATCAAGTTGATGAACAGCAAAGACATTTGCTTATCTTTATCAAGAGTGCCAATAATTCTGGGGGGCACTGTAGGTATTTCCTGTGGCTCTTGAAATCAATAGGTGGCAATAACATGGTAGATTCATTGGGGAATTCAGAGGGACCACTCAGCCAGTGTTTCCCCACCTGCATCAGCAAAACACAAACGTGCTGGAATTTTTCTGCACAACTCCACAGCTTTACAAGAGCTTCCAAAAGACATTTGATGCTTCCTTGATTCTGTGCCTTTCTGGATTCTCCCTTGTTGTCTTCCATTCAGGTTCCGTGCTCACAAATCATTTACTCGTGGCCTCTTATGCTTTTCTATTGTGCAGGGACATGGTAAAGAAAGAATGAGGTTCATAAGAGAGGTGATGACAGGACCACAAGGCAAAAAACGTACTTAAAATTACGCAGTAGCCCTCGATTTGTTTGTTTGTTTATTTTCAGAACAATAATCAAATTAATTTCTTCGCATAAGCACAACATGGATAAAACTCACCATGCCGAACAGGATAAAAGAGTTATATCTCTGTAGCTATGAGTGTCTTCAGTCTTTTTATTTTGATCCTCCAGGCAACAAAAGAAAAATGCGCCTCTATCAGTTCCTCTTGGAACTGCTAAGAGATGGGGATATGAAAGACTGCATTTGGTGGGTGGACAGAGAGAGAGGCACCTTTCAGTTCTCTTCCAAACACAAGGAGGCTCTAGCCAGCCGCTGGGGGATGCAGAAGGGCAACCGGAAGAGAATGACCTATCAGAAGATGGCCAGGGCCCTACGCAATTACGGCAAGACGGGAGAGGTCAAAAAGGTCAAGAAGAAACTGACCTACCAGTTCAGCAGTGAGGTGCTGAGGAGGATGTCAGCAGAGAGGAAGTATCACTAAGAGAAAGAAAGGATTGCCACTGCACTGGGCTGCAAAACTTCTGCAGAACATCAAGGTCTATTTTCCTCTATAGTTTGTCTCAGGGACTCCACACTAGATAAATAGTTCTAGGACCACTATTTGTAAGGAATATATAAATATTATTTTGTTTTCTCATGTACAGAAAGCTGGAGCTTATAAAACGAGAAAAAAAATGCTTGACAGACTTAAGCTTCATAAATTGTTTCATAACTCTATAGAAGTTTATCATCCTAAAGGAAAAATTAGGAGTACACTGATTTAAAAATGTCTCTGTATTAATTGAAGCACCTGGAGATCTAACTTCCTGCTTAGTTCAACTGCTACTAGTGATGAGTCATTTGCCAGCAAGTTGGCTCTTTCAAGTGAATACTGATATAATATTGTTTAACTGTTTGTTTATTTGGGTAAATGAAGATGAGAAGAAGTTAGGCCTTATGATGCTCACCACATACAAATGCATCCAATGAAATTTGTTTGACACAGATTAATGATTTACAGCCAAATCTAGCAATAATGGTGAAAAGTGCTTGGCTCAGACTTGTAGCTTAGGCTCTGATTGCATTGCTGCTTGCTAAGCTGATGCGTGTCATGTAGTGTCTTGCTGTTTGTACATTTATTTAATAGTTCTTGTGACAAACACAGTGCAAATTAATGTTATTTTGTTGATTAAGAGTAAGATTTCCTTGAACACTTTAAGTGAGAGGTGTCCAATCTTATGCACAAAAGGCCAGTGTGGATGCAGGTTTTCCAGTCAAGCAGGAGCTCACCTGATTCCACTAGTTTAATCGAACAACCAATCATGGGTTCTTCTGCGTTTTGGGAAGAAAACCTGACACACCTGCTTTAAGTGATCATCACTGATCATAACATCACTAACCCAGGGTGATTTTGGGAGCTGAAAGAGCTGGCTCTTATTGATGAGCTTGGTCATTTGATCTGACTCAATAAATAGAAGGCAGAAATACCATCAAAATCACAACACAAACCTCAAAACTCTTTATCAACTTGGTAAAAGCCCCCTGAAAAAAAGGCTGATCAGTTAGAGCCAGTGTGGCAGATTAGCCCTGGGACCAGACAGGAAGGTAGATCTCCAGGAGGCAGGGGTGACCACTAGATTGGAGAACTTGTTGTGTACTGCCCCCTGTATGTTCAACATGTACATTGCGTACAAAAGTCCAGTACATTTTCATTTTTGAATCTCTGTATGTGATAAAAGGTTCTTGCATGGTCAGTGATAACAGGAAAAAAAGTTACAGAGACATAGCTTTTTATTTATGTTTTAAACAAATACATCTATAAATCTTTGAGAATCTAAACTTAATGGCTTTTGTGGTGGTCTGTTGACATTTGAATTTTAAAAATTTCACTTAAAGAATAAAGAAAAACTGAAATGAGCAAGGTGAAAGTAATCTCAGTGTGATCTTGATTAAAACACTACTGCTATGTGTCATAGAATACAGTGTACTCAGGTGTGCGTGTGCGCATGTGCAGGTTGTATTTCTAAACCACAAGCAGTACTGAGATCGACTAACCCTTATGAGATAGTCCAGTCCAGAGTGCCTCAGGTATGATACAAACAAACATACAGTACATCTAGTATGGAGACAGGTGTTTGTAACACATTTGAAAAAAAGGTTCGATACTTTGAACCTCATTCTGTTCCTGTGCTTACAAGGACTTTAAAATCACAATCATTTATATCGGTTTCCTTGGTTAAATTATAGGTAGTTTAAAAATAAATCTACAAGACTAGAGCAGCTTCACATTTTACACTGCATTTGTATAAATCAATAGCATGGTTAAAACAGATGGTAAGAGAAACTGGTTGGCTGTTATGGCGGCCTGGAATACTATTGTTGAGAAAAGGAAAGCTGGTTGGTGTCATGTGCACCAAGAAACCTTAAAATTCAACATTCCTAGCCGTATGCCTTCAAGTGTATAATATGATCCCATTCAGGGCAATCGTTCCCTTTCCTTCCATTGTGCATTCACAAAAGAAAAACAAAATCACCCGCAAAATCTTATTGTGAACAATATAGAATTATCTGTAGATATATAAAAAGGTTAACAATCCCCAAAGTCTGCAAATGAGCCTTAGGGCCCACTGTACTAGTGTGTGTAGTCTTGCTCTGTACATGTTTTTTTCTTTTTTACAGGTTATGGGAACACTGGGACCAGAAGGTAATTAGAAGGTCTACTTCACTGCTCTTTGTTCAGCTGACATTTAAAAGAGTTAAACATCCCTGCTAGCTGAGGTCCCCTGTCTCTGGGCAGGCCAGAAAAATGGTACTTTTCTATTCAGAGTGACTTGTGTTGCAGAGCTCGGAAAAATCTTGAAATACTTCACAGCTGCATTATCAGTTGTTGGCAACATCTGCCTGTCTCGGCCAGTTCTCCTCCTCGATGCCAGAGTCGTACTCCTCTTCTGTGGTCTCCTTAGCTGGAGCCCTGAACATAATACACATACCCACATTATACATGTTTATCTCAAACACTCCAGGCTCAACGTACTAAGCCTTTTGGCCCATTTTAAGGTGCAAATCGGACACGTTCTGTCCACGTGTTATGTACAAAACTGCCGTAGGAGCCTAAGCATGCAGGTAATGGCCTATGGTGCAATGCAAAATGTGCTTCTCTTCCTCACGCATATGTATTTGAGGGAACGCCACGCAAAATGGTGAATGTGCACAATGTGGGCAGAGATATTACATGTGCATCTGATTACATATTCCTGCATAACATAGGATTTCAGCTGCTCAACAGTTCGGGGTCTCCTTTGTTGTATTTTTCATTTTATAATGTGCCAAATGTTTTCAGTGGTGACAGGTCAGGACTGCAGGCAGGCCAGTTTAGCGCCTGGACTCTTTTAATACGGAGCAATGCTGTTGTAATACATACAGAATGTGGTTTGACACTGTCTTGCTGAAATAAGCAAGGCCTTCCCTGAAAAGACGTCATCTGGACGGCAGCATATATTGCCACAACATTTATACATCATTCAGCATTAATGGTGCCTTCACAGATGTGCACATTACCCATGCCATGTGCACTAACGCACCCCTATACCATCATGAATACTGGCTTTTGAACTGTGCACTGATAACAAGCTGAGTGTTCCTTAGCCCAGAGGACACAGTGTCCATGATTTCCAAAAAGAATTTCAAATGTTGATTTGTCGGACCACAGGACACTTTTCCACTTCACCTCAGTGCATTTTAAATGAGCTCAGGCCCAGAGAAGGTGGCAGCATTTCTGGATCCTATTCATGTACAGTTTCTTCTTTGTGTTTTAGAGTTTTAACTTGCATTTGTGGATGCAGCGACGGACTGTTTTCACAGACAGTGGTTTTCAGAAGTGTTTCTGAGTCCATGCAGTGATTTCCTCTAGAGAATCATGTCTGTTTTTAATGCAGTGCAGCCTGAGGGCCAAAGATCATGGCCAGCAAATGCTGGTTTTTGACCTTGTCCCTTGCATGCAGAGTTTTCTCCAGATTCTCTGAATCTTTAATGATACTGTGTACCGTAGATGATGAAAAGCAGAAGATCTTTGCTATTTTACGCTGAGAAATGTTATTCTTGGATTGTTGCACTTGTTTGACCGTGCCATCTTTCACATCTTTTACTTCTGAAAGACTCAGCCTCTCTGAGATGCTCTTTTATACCCAATCATGTTACTGACCAGTTGCCAATCAACCATCAGGTGTTTTTTTAGCATTACACAACTTTACCAGTCTTTTGTTGCCCCGTCCCAACTTTTTTGAAACATGATGCTGGCATCAAATTAAAAATTCATTTTTCAAAAAAACAATAAAATTTCTCAGTTTCAAGATTTGATATTTCCTCTTTGTACTATTTTCGATTAAATATAGAGTTTAAATGATTTGCACATCATTGCATTTTGTTTTTATTTACATTTTGCACCGTGTCCCAACTTTTTTGGAAATGGGCTTGTATTATTTTCTTAATAAGTAGGCTGGGTCTGAACTAGTCCAAAACTTGGCAAAAAGATGGAAATGTTGCTTCATGTGGCAAATACACTGAAGCAGACGTGCACCAGGTTTACCTGATATAGCATGGTTTGCTCTTGCCCAGCACCACATCCTTATTCAGCTCCACAGCCATGATGTCAGAGTGTGGCACCTCAAACATGGGCTCCAACAGCAGCTTCTCCTGACAAAGATAACATAGGCATCAGACTGTGAATAAATCCAGTTAAAAGGAAAAAAGGATGGCGGCAAAGAGGGTGCGTGTGGTTTACCATGATAGATCGGAGGCCTCGAGCTCCAGTCTTCCTCTCAAGAGCCAACCTGGCAATGGCCCTCAGTGCATCCGGAGTCACATTTAGCTCACACTGAAACAGAGAGCACTCTTATCACCCACAGTGTATGCAAAATACTATCTGCCATTCTGAAGAGAACGTGCATATAAACACTTACAGTACCCTCCACAAATACTGGCAACTCTGGTAATCATAAGCAAAATAAAGTGTAAAAAATATTCTCAATCGCTTATCCTTTGGATCTTTCATTCAAATTATTAACAAAAATATAACCTTCTAATCTTGTCATGAAATATTTTTCTTAAATCTATGTGTGCCACAATTACTGGCACTCCTTCCCATTCATATTTTATGTTTTAAGTTCATCTGAGCAATTAGGAACACTTAAATGGTCAGCCATGACTTCCTGTTTCACTAGGGAATACATATAAGATGAAATACAGGCCAAATTCATCATTGAGTCATCCTCAATCACTATGAGAAGGACCAGAGAAAACAGCAGTGATGGGCAACAAAAGGTTGAGCTGCACAAATCAGGAAATGGCTACAGGTAAATAAAAAAAACAATTGGAAATACCCATTTTCAATATCAAGGTCATAATTAAGAAGTTTAAAACAAGTGGAGATGTTATGAATCTGCCGGGAAGGGGACATCTGTCTATGCTGACCCCACGTGCAGTGAGGAGGATGGTTCAAGTGGACAAAGAATCTCCCAGCATCACAGACAGGAAATGCAGAAATTAGTTAGGTCTTGGGGACTGAATGTCTCCCAAACCACAATCAAACACCACCTACATAACCACAAGTTGTTTGGGGTGGGTTGTCAGAAGAAACCTCTGCTGTCAAGTTTTCGAAACGTTACTGGAACTTTCAGTGGGATCGTGTTTTATGGTCAGATGAGACCAAAATAGAGGTTTTTAGCAACATGAGAGGTAAGTTTGGGGAAAACACAAAGATAGCCATGCAGAAGAGTATCTCATCCCCACTGTAAAGTATGGTGGCGGATCTGTGATGTTGGGGGGTCTTTTCTTCCAAAGGCCCTGGACAATTTATTCGGACACATGGTATCATGGACTCCATCAAGTACCACCAGAAATAAATTCGAACTTGACTGCCTCTTCCAGTAGAACAACGATCCAAAGCACACTTCAAAATCAACACAAAAAATGGTTCAATAACCACAGAATTAAAGTTATGCCCTGGCCACCCCAGTCCCCTGACATAAACCCCATAGAAAACCTGGGGGATGAGACGAAGAGGGGAGTGCACAGTGTGGACCTCTGAATCTGAAGGTTCTGGAGAGGTTCTGTATGGAAGAATGGTCTAAGATCACTTGCCCTGTGTTCTCCAGTCTCAGTGAGCATTAAAGGAGAAGACTCAGAGTGGTTATCTTTGCAAAGGGAGGCTGCACACAGTACTAAATGAAGGGGTGCAAACAACTGTGGCGCACATAGTTTTGAGAAAAAAATATTTATGTCCTGATAAGATTACTGTACTTCAAATAAAGGGTCATTTTTGTTAATATTTTGAATGATCAAAAGAATAAGCAATAAAGAATGGTTTTTACAGCCTGTCTTGCTGATGTTTGCCAGGGATGCCAGTATTTGAGGATAGCACTGTATTTTGACCATTCAGATGAGAGCCAGGCTTGTCTATGATGGGAGGCTCTGGCACTGATTTGTGTTGTATGTGCTAGAGCTGCTGATGTTTATTTAGCATTTGATTAATCTTTTTTTATCTTTAGTATATAGGCCAAACTAATAGCCTAAACACAACAGTAGGCTACATTAATAGTAGCTTGCATGCTGACCTAACACAACAAACTTCAGCCATATTTTTAACAAGAAGTGATTTAGTGGCAGTTAAAGTGTGACCTATTAAGCCTAAAGCAAGAACTACCAAACCATACCAGGAACAAAGAAAACCACAAGTCTCTGACCAAAAACACAATTACGTTTACTTTCTGTGGTTTAAGCTTATATATGGTGTTACTACATTACTTGCCATGCAAGGTTACTGGAGAAAGGTGCCATGGCTTTCAACTGAGATTTTCCTCAGCCTGTGGCTTACAGTTAGTATAAGCCTCCTATCAATATTCTCAGCTATTTCTTTTCGGTAAGTGCTGAAAACATATAAAAAAAGACAAAATTCAATACAAATTGATGCACTAAAACTGTCA